TGGGAAAGGAGGGCAGTGGGTTATCTATTGTGTACTGCCGGCTCGGTTGCAAGTAGCGCATGATGCGGCAATAAGACACTGGCGCTAGCAGCACACGGATATACAAACACACACACACGGGCACAAGAGCAGCCTGCAAAGGGTGATAGTCCTTAGGGTTTTAGGGTTTTGGTTTCGGGGCCAGATGGCCGCGGCTGGGGTGTGGCGATTATTGAGCTGCGGACGGAAGGCTGCGACTCGCCGTGTGGACCGCCTGGTTTCGGAGCGTCAGGGCGGTGGAGGGGTTGGGGGTTCAGGTCCTGGGTCGGTTGCTTGGCGGCGGCGGCGGCGGCGGCTGCTGTTCACTGCGCCGGTTCTGCAGCGGCGGCCGAGGAAGCCCACGCGGGCTAGGCCACGGGGCGCCGCTTCCCCCCAATTGTTACACTCCAACATGAATTTGTTGCCCCCCCCGGTGGGGAGGGGGTTTGGGTTTGGGTTGCCCACATCTCTGTACATGTGGGAACATGCCGCAAGTCGCTGTACGGCAGTAGCAGCTGTAGTAATAACAGCAGCAGCGTATGAGAAGGCACGGCAGGCACGACAGACAAAAGGGATGGATAACACCACAAGATGAGCAGGACAGGTACAAACAGACATACACACAAACAGAAGAGGTAGATGGACAGACAGACAGACAGACGGCGGCACATACCGTTAGCACACTTACCGTTGACGGTTGGCACCAGTACAGCGGCCGACCAGCACGTACGGGCGGCGTGCCCAGGGGTGACCCCGGCGGCGCCTCAATCCTGCCGTACTTGGTTTCGGGGGGGCAGTAGCACATGGCGATGTCGTCATCGCAAATACCTGGGTTTGAGGGGGTGTTGGGAACAGAGCATGTGTATACGTATGTATGTATGTATGTGCGGCGGCCGAGAGGTGGCAAAGGGAAAGAGCACACAGCGGTGGAGGAAGAGCAGAACAAGGGGGGAAAGCATGGAGGCGAAGTACGACAGGAAGGGGGAATCGTACACAGAGGAGAGGGGATCAACCGGGTCGAGGCGGGGGAAACTGGTGACCCAGGGGAAGGCGCAGACGTGTACTCGGAGGGCACTCCGGGCGCCCATTGGCCCCCTCCCGAGAGGGAGCCCCATTCCGCAATAACGTCGCCCAACCACAACATCGCTAAGGCCACCATAAAGGTTAACCGCTAGTTCGTTGGATTAAACGCTTGTTCGTACTCCCCCTCCCCAAGTCCCCACCTCCACCTCAACCCCCCCTCTGGGTCCCCCCACCAACCCCCCACGAAAACCCCCAAAACACCCTTCCGGGCGGTGACCAAAGGGACCGAAAGCGCCATCCTCCCTTCCGGGCGGTGACCAGAAGGCCGGAGGGGGGCCCCCGCCCGGGGCCCACTTATCCGCCACTAGCCATCCTCCCACCCAACCAGCGATTGACGTTTCCCCACCCACCCACCCCGCCCTTCCCTTACCTGGCCCCCCCCCACCAACGCGCACCCTCTAATTCCCAACACAAAGCCCCAATCCAGATCCTTAACCCCCCTACCCCCCCCTACTCCACCCCCCCAACTACCCCCCCCCACTACCCCCCCTACTCCACCCCACTCCCCCCCCCTTACTACCCCCCCCCCACACACACACCTGCACAACGCGAATGCGACCACTCCGTGTAGTTGTGCCACCCGAGGTCGCGCTTGTCGGGGCCCATGCGCCAACACGGCCGCTTGCGAGGCTGGCTGCAGTCAGCGCCGCCGTACCCGGCAGGGCAGTAGCAGATGCCGAAGTCGTACTGGCACTGCCCCACACCGCTACAGTCATTGGGACATGGCTTATCACCCCGCTTGGGAGGTGGCCGGGGTGTTGGAATCTGCGGCCAAGAGCTCCGAGGGGGGCACAAGGGGAGGGGAGGGCGATCAGCGGCGGAGGGGCTGATGGCTCAGACAGGGCGGGGCGGGGAGGGGAGGGGAGCCTCATGGAAGTGTGGAGATGGGGCCGCCCGCCATACGGGTATGTGAGCGGGGGAGGGGTATGTCAAGCCATGGGGGTGTCAGCGGGCATCAGACCGCCCATTCCCTCCCGGCCCCCCCTCCGGCGAGCGGGCCGTCTGAAAGGCGGGAGAGGGGCACTCACCGACGCCATGTCCGCTGCTGCTGCTGCTGCTGCTGAGGGACTAAGGGCTAAGGCCCGGAGGAGAGCAGAGGGGCACACAAGACATAGCACCCACCGCCATGGGTGCCCGGGGTATCCCTGCCTTCCGTCTAACCCCCCAATCCCCCTCCGCCCTCCACCGGCAACATCGACACCTGCCGCTCACTGGTCCCCCCCCGTGTGAGGCTGCATCCCCCGTCTCACCTCACCTCAATTTAATCACCCAGGCCAGCCGCTCAACAGCCAGGCTCAGGCCGAGCCAACCTCGCCCAGTGCCCTCTCCATTGGCCAACCCAGCGCCCTTCCCACGCCACACCCCACGCCTCCAGCGCTACACACACACACACACACACTCCTAACGTCCTCTCTCTCCCACCACCCGTCCTGGCCCCCCAAGCCCTGTGCCCCGTCCATAAGGCCCGGGGTCAGCCCTGCGTCCCCTCCTCATTCCTCACTCCCCGCGGAGCAACCCCCCCCCGCCGCCGTCGCCTCCGTGTACCTGTCTGTAGTAATGTCCGCACCAAGACCCGCGGGTCACCGCGCAGTGCTCCTCCGGGGTTTGCGGGAGGGGGGGAACGCGGGGAGAGGTGGCTGCGTCCCCTCCCCCTCCAGCTTCCCCGCCCGCGGCTGATCCCGCGGCGCCGGCTGATCCTGATACCTGTGGATGGAGTTGGGGGAGCTGTGAGTAGAGGGGAGGGTGGCGGGTGTGGACGAGTAGGGGAGTGAGTATAGATGGATGGCGTGGGCAAGGAGGTGGCGACCGGGGGCCTCCGGCGGTGACGTGATGTGCTGGGGCCGCGGCAGAGTGTGTGAGTTTGTGTGTGTGTGCCTGTGTGTGTGTCGAGAGAGAGTGTGGTAGTGTTGCGGGGTAGTATTGCATGCCGCATGCCGCTGATGCATATGACGCATCTCGTGGTCTCGGAGGACATCCTGGTGTGCGTGTGAGTGTGTGGTGAAATGCCAAGTTGCGCAGGCATTAGCAGCGCAGCAATGCGGCACAGCATTACTGTAAGGAGACGTCGTTTCGGCGGCGGCAGGTGACGGGGTGGGGGGAGCCTGCAGCAGGGGCTCAGGTGCCCCGGATAGCAGAGAGGAGAGAGAGGAGATGAGCGCGGGCGGAGGAAACCTATCCCCGGGACAGGGGGCCATCAGAGGCCAGGAAGAAGAAGATGAGCGCGGGTTTCGGAAAGTTGAGGATGGAGTGGCAGAGGATGTGGCTGAGGGGTTACCTTCATAAAAGCAGCCACCAACCTGCAACAAAGTTCTTCGAAATTGCGCCGCGGACTCGTCTAGCTCAGCGTAGGGCAGCAGCTCCTCTGAGTTAAAAACCGCAAGGCCAGGAGGCAGCACGGCAACCGCCAGCTGCGACGATGGATAACTCGATGGGAAGGTTTCGACGTAGAACCACTTACGACTACTTGTGTGTTATGCACGGCCATTCCCCATTGCGGACTCACCAGCACCAGAAGACGCGTTGCTTCTTGGCTACGCGCCATTCCTGCTTGTGGGTTGCTCCGTGATCTACTGATCTACCCCAGATTTTCGTTAACAATTTCAACCTTTTAATGTATAAATAAGCGGGAGTAGGGTGAAACTGGTTTAATTACCAATAGCACCTCGGTGACATTTCTGCACGGTACGGTTTCCAGGTTAAATAATAGAGTCCTCCACGAGTTTTTGTTATGATAGATAGAGCGCAAAACGTTGCTTGGAAACAGTCAACGACCGAAACCGACGGCAATGGCAGTTTATTCCGCTCCGAAATGCATTCGTACATCTCGACAACTACCTCCGAGCAACTGCCTCAGCGCACCTAGTAGCTATGTGGCCTTATCGTAGGTGCCACGCGTGCACGTAGTGTCCTTCCTCAAGCTTTGCATTCTGTTGCGTCTTGGTTCCTTGAAGGCAAATTTCTATTCGGACAATTTTGCCGGGCTCGAGTCACTGAGTGGCGTTTAAAGGGAATCATGACAACAGCGCATCGCCCAACATGGGCACCCGCTGTTGGCGGCGAGGAGCAAGGTGGAATGCGCATCTTCAAGCCAAGCGTGGCAGTCTCTTCCAAGAACCTCCCTGCGCACACAAAGCTAAAGTTTAGGCAGGACGGACAATCGAGCGTTGATGAAGTGCGGGTCAAGGACCTGCGAGCCGAACTGGAGGAGAAAGAACGGAAACACTTTGCTAAGAAAGCCGGGACAACGTCCATCTTCGAAGGTGAGTGTTTTGTGAGGGATTTTTTTAGAGCTTGAAGCGAAAGCGGCCAAAACTTTAGCAACCCCTCCACCTGACTCCTGCAGAGGAGCGGCAAAAAGACCTCAAATTGCTTGAAGCTGCACCGCCCGACGGTCAAACGAGGCAACTGGTTCCTAAAGCGATAGACGCAGACGACGAGGACCCGGAGTCGTCGGAGAGTAGCAGCGACGATGATGACGACGATGTAAGTCCCAAACCCCCACTGCGTCGGGTTTATTTGGGAAGCCACAAGGGACGCAAAAGTGCGGGGCCAGCCCGTTGAGATCTTTGGGTGAATCCGTCCATCGGCACACGGGTCTTTGCGTTTTCAGCGCTCGGCACAATTTTTTCGAGTCCGGGTTGTAAGCCCATCCTGGCCGGCCGCGAGGGAAGTTCTTGCGTCACTTCCCCCTCCTCCCTAGGGGGAAAGCACTCCCCCCTCCTCCCACCCAAATGGCCTCGTAGAGGTCTCGAGCATTCTGGATAGCGCCAACTTGATTGTTGCTGCGACCACACCGCCGTCTTGCGGCCTGGCGGTCGAGGCCTTCCTTGTGCCGTACGAACTTGCAGCCGTACCAGCAATAAAGTGGAGTACTAGCAATAAGGCGGAGCAGTGCGACCCGGAAAGATTGTCTAAATGTGAACGGAGGCCCCCCCCCGGGGGGGGGCCCGCGGGGTTTTATCCACCGGGGGTGCTCCCCACCTGGGGGTTAGTACCACACCACCGGTGTGACTTGGCAGCAGCATCAGCACTGTGCGGCGCAAGAATGACCTGTCGGGCGGCGACCCGCACGGTACGGCGCGACATAACCATACACATACACACACGGCGCGTGAGTGACACATGCACGGTACACGTGTATACGGCAGACCGGGAACACCACCCAGACGGTGCGGACCTCTATCCCCGCCCCAATACCCCAATACCCCTGACTCCATGGAACCAACTGTACTGTACTACCCCCCCCCCCCCCGTACCGAACTCTTCCCCTCTCTTGCCTCTGATCTGATCCAGTAGGGCCCTATATGGCAGCCTAAAGCCCCTACAGTACACCTACAGCCCTCCCTCCCCCCCTAACCCCCGCCCCCTCTGTCCCACGCTGATCCCCCCCTCCACTCGGATTGTTGATATGGCGATGTCCCCCCGGTGGCCCCGGTGGGCCCCTCAGGACGAGGAGGCGCTGCTGCTGGCGGAGCTGGAGCGGATAAAGAAGGAGCGAGCGGAGGAAGCCGCCAAGAAGGTATTGCGAAGAAGCACACCACGATTTGGCACACCGCAAGTCTTGACAGAGCGCCTAACCATATGTATTGAATACACTTTGCATGGAGTACTAATGGAAAAGACACAGCAGCAGCAGCGCAGAGTGACGGGGGGGGGGTGCCTCCAAGGTCTTGGCTCCACCCACAACTGTACGAGCTGCGTGGACTGGCGGGTGGTCCTCCCGCTGCCTCACCTGGGGGGGGGGCGGGGCCCCGCGGAGGTCGGGGTGGCACTTTACTGGGCTGCTGGCGCTGGGAACACACACATAGAGACACACACACACACACACACACGCGCGCACGCGCACGCGCGCCCCTGTCGGAACTTCCGTCATCGCGGCTCAAACTGTTAAAACACACACCCCTGGGCTCGAGCCGTTTATTGACACGGGTGCCCCAGCAGGTCGCACACAGGTCAGGCAGCCGAACGTCCGGACGTCCCGGGAGACCGGGGAGACGCAGCAAAGGCACCCCCAAGGGGTGGACTTTAGAGGGGGCGAGAGAGAGGATAGATGGAGAGAGGGGGGAGGTGGAGATGGGAGATATTAGTGGGAGGGGGGAGGTCGCTGTGGAGGGGTGTTTATGGCGGGTTGGGAACAGAACAGAGCACAACCGGAGGAGGAGGAGGGGGAGGGGGGCAGCAGAGCGGTGGATGGTGATGCGGGCCGGGGCAGTTGGGGAACGGTTGGGGACAGTTAACACTCGGGGGTGGCAGGGTTCGTTTTTTCAATCAGGTTGTTGGGTCGGTTGGAAGTTGGCGGGCGGTTAGGGTGTTCGGTTGGTGCCATGACAACACAATACGACATTTGCGACATATTGGCCCTCTCCCTGTTGCAGCAGCAGCAGCAGCAGGAGTACATTTGTGTGTACGGATTGCTAATTGGGTTTAAGTCTCATGCGGCTAGTCGTACTGTCCTACCTTACCCCCGCTCCCCCCTGAGCTGTCGTACGCCCCCACCGCGCTCCTGCTGGAATGCGACTTTGCTTCACGGGGACACCGGCAATCGACAAATTGCATTTCGTTCCCTGACACCTTTCCCGTTTCCTGTCTCTCCGTCAACCTCCTTTCGCGTCCCTCTGCCCGCCCCCCCCCCCAGGCTAAAGAGGAGGCGGAGGCCGCTGCCAAGGCGAAGGAGGAGGAGCTTCGGAGCGGCAACCCGCTGCTGGGCATTGGGGGGGACGTCAGCTTTAACATAAAGCGCAGGTGCGGGGGGTCCCCCGGGGGGGGGATATGTGGGGCCGCCAACACCGGCCAGTGGCGGTGGGAATGAAGTGGTGATTTGTTGGTGGTGGGTGAGTAGTAGTAAAGTGAACTTATGAAGTGGGTGTGGCGATGGAGCGCGCACCTCACCTCACCTCACCCCACGTAACGCAACAGCACGTTACCGGTATTAGGATACTGTGTTTCCCTTTCTCGGCGGGGGGCCGTGTTGGGTTGGGTAGAATGCGGACCCAACTCGCGGACTCCTCCCCTGGCCCTTCATATCTTACGGCTTGGGTCTACTGCTCTTCTTCCGCTCTTGTTTTTATCTTGGCGGTTAGGAAGGTAGGTAGTTAGGTAGTCTCTTTCCGCTGTCGTCATCACTACTAACATCATCTCGAGGACTGCTTCTTCACAAGCGCCGACTGGTTAGTCATGCGCTCTTTACATATCCCGCATCAGTCTTTCCTTCTGGCATCAGCTTCACTCGCTCGTGTGGGGTTCGTCTTCCCCCCCAAACCCGGCGGTTTAGGTAGTCATTATGCTTTTCCTCCTTTGAACTCGACAGCTGGATAGTCGTCCGCAATCTAGCCGGCCACGTTGATATTGGTTATTGATAACTTGTTACAGTATCCGGGTGCAGTACAGTGCAGTGCAGTACCTGTTTGTCTATTCCTGGAGTATCTGTCTACCTCGGGTATCAGCTTCACCCGTCTGTGGCTCGTCGTATACCCCGTCGTACATCCGCTGCTTGCACATGTTTCCCCCTCCCCCTCCCCATCCCCCCGAACAAACGGTTTGCCTCCAGGGTGGCCTCAGCGATGTTGCGGTATTTCCTTTCCTTCAATCGTCTGTGCTTCTTCGTACCCCTACCCCTACCCCTACCCGTACCCCCGTAACGTGACCCCGCCAGGTGGGATGATGACGTCGTGTTCAAGAACCAGTCCGGGGGGGAGCCAAAGGCGCAGAAGCGCTTCGTGAACGACACCATCCGAAACGACTTCCACCGCCGGTTCTTGCAGCGGTACATCAAGTAATGGTGTAGTAGTAGTGAGAGGATGATATGATATGATGTGATGTGATGTGGTGATATATTGGCGAAGAAGGAGGGTGGGGTGGTTGGGGGTGTGGCTCGTCCCACCTGGCGGGGAACATACATACGTTGAGAGCAGCTGCTGGGGGTGGGGGGGGTGTACGAAGGGGGGTGAGTGACAGGGCAGCAGCGGCGGCGGTGTTTCTTTGACCCGGGTGTGGATAGGTGGCGGCGGGTGGGTGGTGGTGGGTTTGTGGGGGGCTCTGCGGTGACCTCGTTGCGGGGGAGTGCAGCCACATCAGTGACGACCGTTTCAGTTCCTGATACATCAAACCCCTGAATCCCTCCTGCGCTACGGAGGGGACTCCAACTGGCCGGTGGAAGCGCTGGGAGGGTGTAGGAGTGCGGTGGGGTTAGGGGGATATTGCTGCGGGAGGAGGTAGTGAGCAGTGCAGGCCCCCTTCCCTCCCCGTGCTGTTTCTGACGACTATTCTTCACGACAGGAGTGGTGGGGCTGCTCGCCAACATTGCCTCCCTTTTGTGGTGATGGTGGTGGTGGTGGTGGTTGTTAGCCGCACGTAATGGTCGAGTTCGTGGCGGTGATGGTCGTGGAAAGGCGGAGTATTAATTAACAACGTGGCCGCAAGGCACATAAGTACATAATAACAGCATTTTTTACATCTCAACATCAACTCCGCGTCAACACCCTCCACCCTCCTAACCGAATCCATGCCATTAGGAACCGTCCAAAGGAAACCTATCCCTAGAGGCCTCGCCGCTGTTAGGACGGTTCAAGTTGATCAGCTCAACACAGCCAACACACAGCATCGCATCTAAAGCAAGACACACTTTGCACAACTCGCCATTAGCACACACACTCACCCACCACTAGTCGGTTCGTAATAGCAACCAACGAACTATCAATCAAGAAATCCGCACCACGCTCCTCGGAAATCTCCCTAGTCGTTGGTGCAGCTGCGGCGCTCTCAGCGGTGGTGGTGGTGGTTCAGTCCCTCCCACCTCCACGTCGCCTCCGCACCTTTTCCTCCGACGCGCTGCCCGGGTGTCGCCCTCATCCGCCCTTCCTACCCTTTTCGGGTCGTTAATATGTATACGTTGTAGTGTAAAGGGGGACGACGTGCCAATTTCCTTGAAGGTCCGGACGCCGCCCTCAGCACCAAGGGGCAATGGACGGACGGAACCTCACTGCGCCTAGTGCCGGCACCGTGATCTCCTCTGACGGCCTCCTCTTCGTGCACTTCTCGCTGCCCCTTGCGCCTCCTTCTCCTCCCCTCTCCATCCATTCATCCAAGAACTGGTCGGAAGGGGGTTACGCAGCGGCAGAACAAAAACCCCCAACACGAGCTGTTCTTGAACTTCTCCTCCTCCTCCCTCACTGTTGCAAATAACACTGACAACCGCGGCCGTATGAGAACTCGTTTCGGGTCGCGGCAAAAGAGAAAACACACCCACCGGGTAACCTGCCGCCTTCCCTAAAATAGGCGAAATAGGGAGGGGGTGACCCCGCCGAGAAAACCTGAAGGCTTAGAAGGGCCGTCATGTGGGATCATGTCACCCTATTCGAGGTGCAAAACACCGGGTCAGCTCAGCTCAGCGCCATGCACCCCCCCCCTATCAGACGACGACGAATGGACGAGCTCTGCCCTCGGGATCATCTGCTGTGTACGACAGAAAAGAAGGCTCCGGAAGGCCCCACCCGCCACGAACTGCAACCCCCACTGCGATAGACCTCTCGTCCACCTGATGTGTTTGTGTGTGTGTGTGTGTTTGTGTGTGTTGGGGGGGGGGGGGTACTTGAGCCCTCACAGGGCTATCTATCGGCACCTGGCTCTGCACTACCAACACACACACTCTCTCTAGCACACACATACATACACACACGCACCAATGTGCTAAGGAGGCTAAGAGGTAATAGACCCAAAACTGCTAAAAAAAGCTCTTAACATCAGTCAGTCAGTCGGTCGGTCGGTCGGTCGGTCGGTCGGATGTGCGCTAGCAGCCGGTGAGAGCCACCCCGCCATGGCGCCACACTGCCGGAGGTATTCCCCGCCCCGCCGCACCCATCACCCCCCACCGTGGGAATGTACGTAAACCGTGCGCCCTCCCTCTTCATACGGCCCGGGTCCCGCAACCGCCACAACCACCACCGCCGCCACTCCTAGATCGCACCCGCCGCCTTGAGCTCCTGCTCAATGGCCGCCGTCGCGCCGCGGGCACTGTCGCCGCCGGCGCCGCCACTGGCGGCGGCACCTCCGCCGGCGGCGGCCGCCGCCCGCTCCACCTCCGCCGCCATAGCCCTGCTGGCGGGCGCCATCGTCTCCGGTGTCGTACCCGCCGACTCGCTGGGCGGTTGTGCGGCGGCGGCGGCGGCAGGCGCCGTCACACCCAAAGCGGTGCCCTGCCAGATCGCATGGACGGCGCCGGAAAAGGACGCCATACATAGTACGGAATACGGCACGACCGGTACCGATTACCGGTACGCGGCGTTGTCCGTCCGCCAAGGAGATGGATGGTCCGCAGTCGTACAGGCGGGCGAAGGACGGGAGGTTTATGGAGAGTGATTGGTAGGGTGTTGTGTTAATGGCTCATGTGGCGGTGGCGGTGGCGGTGGTGGTGGTGCCTATTCCCTCCCCCCCCCCGGCACCAAATGCAGACGGCGTGTGCAAACACATACATAAACATACACACATACCCGCGTTCATACATTCCACGCTTCACTCGGTCGACAACCTCACAGGCTCCGCTGCCTCCTCTGAACCCCCCCCCCCCCCCCCGGGTGGTGGCGGTCCCCTCCGGTGCCCTCGCTGGAGGGGGGGACCTTCCCCTCCCGACAGCTTCCCAACCTCCTCCCAACCACCCCCCAACCACCTCCCAACCACCTCCCAAAAAAAAACACCTCCCAACCACCTCCCAACCTCCTCCTCCGGCTCGTTCAGGAACAACGAAACAGGAACCGAACCAACGAAATAAACCGAACTAAATCCGAAACCGGATATGGAATCAGTCGCCTGAAAGAAACCACAGGCCGCCACAACTAACTAACTAACTAACTTGCACTCACCACTCCCTTGACGGTGTGCGTTACGCCCTCCGCGGAGTGCTTCACTTTCTCCGCCGCCTCCACGATGGGCTTGGCGGCCGCGGCGGCGTGCTGTACGGCAGCACTGCCTGCATGCCCATGGAGCAGATGGACAAACATACACGCACACACATACATATGTGAAAGACGAAGGAGCAGCTAATAACTCGCCACCGGCCAGAGAGCGCTTACCCCTGTGTTGCGCCACACACACATACACACATACATACATACATACATACATACATACATACATACATACATACATACATACATACATACATACATACATACATACATACATACATACATACATACATACATACATACATAAACACACACCCTGTTGTTTCCATCGCAACGCCCAGTAACGCATCTACCTGCACCCGTTCGCTTCCTACCTACCTTCGAAGACTACAGTTCAATCAGTGCGATTCGCCTTGCGATTAGGCACATCCACCTTATATTGGAGGTCTTTGGATCTTTTCACACTCCACAACACAGAATAGGACACCCAGAACTCCCACTCAGAGCTCAGAGCCAGAAGGGACTTCTGCACATCATCTGTTTTGTTGATCCCAGAGCACCTCTCCCCCTCCCTCTCCCTCCCCCCCCCCGCACACACACACTGCTGCGAGACCGCAGCAGGAATCCCTTTTTTCGTTGTTGATGTTGTTGTTGTTGTTGTTGTTGTTGTTGTTGTTGTTGTTTGCAGCAATAGCTCAGAGCCGCATAATGGAGTGGGGGAGATACCAAGTCCTTCGCTTCACAGAAGCAGGTCCGCTTACTTCGTGTTTGTCTGTCTCGATAGTGCTGTTACTTCTATCCGTCGGTCACCTGGGACCCACCTGCTACGTAGCTAGGTTAGGGCAGGCGCACGTCACTGCCGTTGAACAGCACTGGCACACATCATTTTTAGATGAGGCCGTGTGCGCCCGCCAGGTGTACGGGATGGTCATAACCTCCGCAGCCTCCCGATCCGGGACTGCAAAATACGGGCTGCTCCAGTGTAAGATCGGGAGGCTGCGGAGGTTATGACCGTCCCGTACACCTGGCGGGCGCACGCGGCTCCGTACGTCCCCAGCCGCGCTGAGCATGGCCCCATCTTATTCATCTTATCTTATTTAGGCTCCTCGAGGGGCATTTCAATTATCATTTAGATTGATTGAAAGAAGGAACATGCAGTTTTCAATTTCTCATGCGAAAGGAAAAAGACTCATGCAAAAGGGAAAAGGCAAAGGAAGAAAGAAAAAGTAAAGGCGCTTGTTGTTGTCAATCAACTTCAGGAGGTCAGCAATTCAGCATTCAGCAACATGCATGCACATGCACACGTGCGCACGTACGTAACAGGCCCCACATTCATTGACGTGATCTAAATTTTGACACGTTATTAACATATTGGGAGTTTGGTCTAGTGGTATGATTCTCGCTTCGGGTGCGAGAGGTCGTGGGTTCGATTCCCGCAACTCCCCGCTCGAGCGCTGATGAGCTATCCATTTTGCAGAGACAATGCGCACGCTGTCATAACTATGTTCTGAAGTGTTACGACATGTAATTTTATGATGTCAGTTCATGAGCTTTCGGAATACGTGTCGTAACTTCGGAGCTAGCGGAGCTTGAACTTGTGTGTACGACGAGTGAGGTTGTGGCGCGCTGACTAATTAAGCGGACCAAATTATGAACATTGTAAGTCTAAGTTGAGATTGAAGATCCCGATCCTCTGTGCATACGCCAGTATCTCGGATAGTAAAGTCAGCTTACGCTTCTCAATTGCTAGGAGCGGTCTGGTTCCCTTTCACGACAACAGAACACGGAACAACACTGTCCGCGCCCAGAGCAACGGCCCCCCAACTGCGCAAAGTACGGCCTAACTAGGGATTAACTACCGAAATCCCCGGCAAGTTTACTTTTCGTAGTAGCCAGCTTCAGCAAGATTACGACGATCTCCTGAGCTACGCAGGTGGACTATTATTATAAGTATAATTATTATAAACTCGAATGAACCCCTGGGAACGATATGTCATATTTTAGCACGCCTGCCCTAGAGCCTACTAGCCTAGCCCTTGCGTGTAGCTGTAGCTGTAGCTGCACCTTCACAGAGTTGGAAAGAAGCTAAGAAAAAGATAAGAACAGAGAGAAAAGGTGGAAGAGATTGAAAAGAGAAAAACAACAAAAGATTTTAAGTGGTGGAAGTGCCATCTCACTGCTCGCCGGGACTTGAGAAACAATGGGAGAAAACGCGAGAGGGCAAATGTGGAAACTTCTGAAGAAGAGAAGAAAACTCAATTTATAAACATTCAAAAATGTACGGGAACAAGAAACGTAAGCGGCACCTTACATTACAGATCGGCGGGGTGCAGAGCGATGCCCCATCCTCGCATCCGGGGGGGGACGGGCACACATCCCGTCGGTTGGATAGATACATCCTGCATCACCACCACCCTTATAAATCCTCGAGCCACACATCCAACAGCTCCGCATCCTGGTGACTGGAATTCCCTTCCCTCCGCCATCCGCATCCTGTGTGGGTTGGCGGGTTGACCCTCCCTCCCGAACTTGCGGCCATCCTGGGCGCTCTGCCTCCCATCATCACTATCCTGGCGGGGAGGGGAGGTCCACATCTCTATCCCACCTACTCCTTCCCGCCCGTATCTGCGCCCATCCGGTGACCCTCCGCCGTACCCTGACCGCTCTGCAACCCTCCTCACACAGACTTACATACATTCACACACGCACAAACGCGCTTGCCCCAACGCTGAGCTGAGCCGAGCTGAGCTGTGCATCGAAAAGGTATCGGTAGGTTTCAGATCCCCGGGAGGAAGCTTCGAGACGCAAGATAGTTGCTAAGTTACCTAGGAGGTTGTTGCCTAACTAAGACATGACTAAAAATTGGCAGAGCGACTGGTGCGCGTGCGGCTCCTTCATGCAGCATCAACAGCAGAAGGCAGTGGTGGCTGCAGCAGCAGTAGCTACGGAACTGAACGCGAACACTGGTGTCCACCATCTCTCCTCATACCGACAACACACCATGAGCACCCCCCTCCTCCCCCTTTCTTTTCCCTCCACCCCCCCGGTTTAGAGGTACCCACCGGCCGATAGCACCTCCGACGCCGCCTTCACCGCCTCCACGCCGGTCACCACCGCCTGCACGGCCTCCTTCACCGCCGACTTGCCCTTCTTGCCGGCGCCGGGGGTGGCCCCCGCCCCCTCGCCAGAGGGCTGTTGCGGTTGGAGGTGGTTGGGACATCCACACGCACCGGGGGAAACGGAAGTAATTGGTCAGTGCAGGTGGTTAAAACAGTTGGTTAAAACAGTTGGTCTAATGTTTGGTCTGAGTAGGAATGTAAATTGCTGTTAAAGCCTTTTAGGTTTCGTTTGTAATCTAGTTTATGCTGATGACAAATGATAACAGCCACATATGTATTTGGCATCTGCAATGGCTTACAACAATTAATTTCACGTCAGTAACTAATCGTCTTGCTTTGGCTGTGGCGTGTCGCCCAGTTCGAGTCCCTCCTACACCACTCCCCCATCGGCTTGGTCCCCACCTTCCCCCCTCAAGTACGGCATTCCAACCAACATAACCAACTCCTGCAGGAAAAAGCCCTCCACCATCATCACCCCTGGGTGGGTGTGTAGGTATCGGCAAAACCGCCGTTAAAACACTTCTCCCCCTGGGAAGAGGGGGGAATACCCTGCACTGCCAAGGGGCTATCGTACTGTTAACACACTGCCGTACCTTGATTAACCGCTCCGAGGGGTTGTTCAGGCAGATGTTGGCGTTCAACGCTGTCGCGTACGATACCCACACCAGGTACGGCACCATAAGCGGCAACTGTACGGCAGGACTTGTGGCACGTGCCATGGCGACCGTGGCCGCGGTAGCCACCCCCAGAAGCGCTGATGTGGTAATGATGATGACAAACAGACAAACAAAAGAGTTCCACACACACACACACACACACACACACACACACACACAGACACGGGGAGAGAAGTCGTGAATGTTCTCGAAGCAACACGGTGTTCACCAGCTGCAGGTCAAGGGACCTCAAGCAGCCAACAGATCGGTGGGCCGTAACGACCTGTGTAGCCCCCCCCCTCCAGGCGGCAGTTGGGGAGGTTCGAAATGCGCATCTATGTGTGGGTGTTTTTGTCCCCGGGCGGTTTGCTTGGGGGGAGGTCCTACTGTGCGGGGAGTGGGGGAACCACTCGGGGGGAAGGGGGGGAAGACGAACCCCACACGGGCGAGTGAAGCTGATGCCAGAAGGAAAGACTGATGCGGGAGATGTAAAGAGCGCATAACTAACCAGTCGGCGCTTGTGAAGAAGCAGTCCTCGAGATGATGTTAGGTCAGTGGTCATGACGACAGCGGAAAGAGACTACCTACCTACCCTCGCCCTTGAGGGGGTGGAGGGCGGCGGCGGGTACTGTGTTTCGTGCCATGCGGGGCGGATGATGTCAACCACACCATCCGCCCCACATCCACACCACCCCTCCACGCCCCCGACGAGCTCCAGGAGGGGCCCCACCCTCCAAACCCCCCACCCCCCAACATCCCGACTCCTCACCGCCCGCGCCCCTCCTCACTTACCGGTGATGTCCATCAGCGCCACGTCGGTCTTGTGGCTCTTAAAGAACAGCGGGTTCCTTCAAGGTGGCGTGTGTGTATGGGGGGGGGGAGGGGGCGTGGTGTGTGTGTGTGGGGGGGAGAAAGACGAACCACACACGATTGAAGCTGCTGCCAGGGCAAGAGTGTATGGGGGGGGGAGACCCTGTGGCGGTAGCTAACCACTAACAAACTAGGTGAGGGGTGGTTAGAGCGGTTGTAATTGGCCGGGGTTACCGGGGGTAGAGAGGAGACAGGGCCGCGTGGGTCCCTCCCGCCCCGGTGGGGATCCCCACCACCACCTGATGTGGAGGGGGGGGGGCGTGTGTGGTCATCCGTGTCGCAACATGGTGGGGTGAGGGGAGGTAGTGGGAACCCGACTACTACTACCACCACCACCACCACCACCACCACCATTACCACCACCACCATCATCATTACCATTCCCGTTAAGAATAACAGATATGCCTGCAGCAACACTTTTCTAAAATGTACAAAGAGCGGTACGGCGGATAAGGCAATACTCCAGCATTGCCCCCGACAACCCTAAGCCCCCCTTACGCACCCACTCAACACTCTCCCCCCCCCCCCACACACAAACTAACCAAATGAGATTCAGCACGAGCTGCGCGCCGTACAGTCCAAGCGCAACCGTGTTCTTCCCTGGAGTAGTGGATTAGACGTACAACACGGCAAAACACACATATGTCCAGGGCGGGCGGCCCGGGGCCCCCATGCCCCGGGGGGGGGGGAAATGGGGGGGGGTACGACGAAACACAGATGATTGACGAAAATGAAATAGCATAGGGGAATACTCGGAAAATCAGGTGATGCTCCTGCAGGATAACTGCCAACTACCAACGGCCCAACTGCTGCCCGGACAACTGAATTTACCGCAACGGGGTGAGACAGGGGGACAACCTGGCACAGCTCTGATCAGGGGGCAGCAGGGGGCGGGGGCAGTTTGTGTGACGCTGCTGACAGCCGAGTTCAGTCTAGGAAGAAGTACACCAGCCATGGCAACGCATTCACGAGGAGGGTGAATGTACGGAAAGAAAGGTGCAAAACACACGAAGCACACGGACCCAACGGTTTCCAAAAAACCTGTAACCGAAAAACTTCAAAAAACTTCCAAAACGATCTGGAAATCCCCCCTCTGCATACCCCTGCAGGTCTCACTCCCTCACCCCCCCCGGGCGACTCATCCCGTGCACCCCCCCTAGCCGCCGCCGCCGCCGCCGCCGCTACTACGCGCGCCTTCCTAAGAATCTTTCCAAGGGAGCCAATCCCCCCTCTAAAACCCTCTCTCCCCTGCCCCCTCCCACCTTTTTTCTTCCACACCAACCAGGATGCCGTACCCATCATGACGTACAGCGCCGTCCAGACGGGCGCGAAAAGAAAGTTCTAGATACAGTTTCCAGAATCCAGGATTCAGATTCCGTGCATGCGTTATGATCCACGATGCACCACGTGGTGGATCGTGGAATCCAATTGGAATCCAGGACGGGGGGGAGGGCGCGGGTGGTGGTGGTGCAAACGGACCAGTGAAGGACGAGTGAAGGACGAAGAGGACCTCAGGCAGTTTTTAAATGACCATAAATAATGTTGTACTGACGATTCTCTCTCCAAAAGTTTACACATCTATGTTACACACCGTATTATCGACCCGTGTTAGCCCCTGCCTCTCCGTTCTCGCTGCTTCTCTCCCCCACCCCCCCGCTGTACGGGAAACACACAACTGGTGTAAGTCACGCTCCCTCCTCCCTCCGTGTATTTCCCCCACACGCCCCTCAACTAACCGGGGGAGTCCATTTGGGCTTCTTTAAGGTGGGGTACCTGCCGTACATCACGATGCCGTACATTGCGGTGACGTGGGGCGCGCGACGATGGCACAGAGCAACGTTGAGAGGCAGGAGACAAAGATCACCGGGCAGGGGGTACATTACGTGATACATGTGCAATAAATATATTGCCGACGTCCAGGGTTGGATTGGAGAGCGTGTGGGGGGGGACGGCGAAGGGGGTGTTCACATTCAATACGATCCCGTGTTGAACAGGATATCGCCTGAGGGGAGAGCACCCATTAGTCCCGTTCGTCCCCTACTTCCCCCGAAACACCTTGGCTGTACCCGAAGACACTTAAGAACCCGACTCCCAGCTTCCGCGGCCGCCGCCTGGTGGTCAGCTAGCCAGGTATCGCTGTAGCTTTAACCATTTATTTATTGTCAAGGGAGGTCATGTGCAGGTGCGTAATGGTTCAAGTGTTACGCGGTTTTCCAGTCCAATTTTCTTCACCCTACAGGAGAACAAGCGGCGCAAAGGCAAAGAGAAGCCGGATAGTCTGTGACTTTGGTGGGGTGCGCATGCTCAGAGAGACGGTGGAAATTTGGCCGCGGAAAGTGGAACGAGAGATAAAATACAGTTCCAGCATCTGGAGCATATGCGCTGGTTTCTTGCTCACAAACGCTTTTTGCGCTGGGACCCTTTGGCATCGGCAACCTTTCGCAACCTGCATCCCCGCACCGCATAACCTTGCACACATTCTTATTGAACACATTCTTACAGATTCGCGCTAGGATATATGAAGTTTTGCACCCTCGTATTGGCTGCTGGCCCTAATAGTAAATCCTTGTGCACAAGCTCAGGGGCACTGTCAATATGAAGGTGTGATAGCCAATCCCAAAAGGAACAGTATGGAAATAGCAGCCACGTGGGCGGGCCCACTCGCGCTTCAGGCCTGCAGGCCACGATAACAGAACTGGCTGTCGGTTCCGAAAGAGCGATAAATGCGTTACGGAACCCTAGCGCGAGCAGTAAGCACTTGACCCTGGGCAAAAATATTTTTGCATTTAAGAGGTGCACGCTAAGCACCTCGTGCTTCTTACCAGGTGACGACATCTTTCTGTGTGAGGAATCCGCCAATGAAACCGCCGACCAGCGGGACGCCAATCGAGACCGCCTATGCAAGCGATTTCGTTGTGAGGTCATAACATATAGGGTAAGTCTTTCAGACAACCGTCCGTAAGCCGCTCTCGGCGCCAGTTGAGGCCGCGGGTGTGGCTATCGGTGTCGACGCGGAGGCTTGTGTCTTTCAGCAAGCTACATCTTAAACCACCATTATACACTCCATCAAGACGTACCAGTGATAAAGAGTTGCCCATGTCCGTTGCACTTCTCCTTAACAAGCAAAGAACGGATGGGTAACTTTTCGGCACACTTCTCCTGAACAAACAAAGAATGGATGGATGACTTTTCGAATCAAGACTCTTCACCAATTCCAGCTGATTGGACTGCCATATCATGTCGAGCCGGTACAACGCATCGTGCGCGTTTTCCATGGTCGCATAGTACAGTGCCGTACGGCACGATAAGAAACCAGCCGCAAGGAGAGAATCGACAAGCGCCCATCTAACCTTGCCGAACGCTGCCCGGGTTACCTGGAATAATACCTCGCCACGTGCGAAAGAGTTACAGTGAGAGGCAGATTGTGAGGGCGACGATAACATACCGCAATGCGCGTTTGAATCCGGGGCCCGATGCCGAAGGGGAAATTTTGGAATCCGACTTCGGAGCCGGCTCCCGAGCGAGGATGGACGGACTCTGGTGTGTGTACGTATCTGTGTGTGCGTGTTAATGATCTGAGCCGCGGTGATGGAGGTGCCAGTGGTGGTACAGGAATAACTTTACCAGATGAGATGGGGCAGGTCGGGTAGTTAGGTGGTTAGTCAGGTGGTTGGTTGGTTGGATAGGCGTGATGGGGTGGGGCAGTTAGTTGGGCGGGCGGGGAGGGGTGGGCCGGGTGGAGAACAGCGACATGAGACGGAGGTCGGTCGTCGTGGGCAGGGAGGGTTGTGTAGAGGCGGGTGAAGTCCCTTAGCTGCGAGAAGGTGAAATGGGGACCATCGGCGGCGACTTGGCTGGCGTCGTATGCATGGACGGTGGCGATGACAGCTCCGGAGCTTAGGGAGGAAGGGCCAAGTCCGGAAGTCAGGGGTTTGTTCTCCCAGAGTGCTCGGAAGGTGTCGTCGGCCAGGGTGGAGCACAGCTTCACGGTCGGGTGACGGGCAGCAGTGGCGGGGCACAGCTGCGGAAGCGAATCGCCGGCGGGATTTCGTGCATCTTGCCGGTGCCGTGTAGTGGTGGCATCGTGTGCGATACATAGACGGATGTGCGATGGCTTCCTTGGCAGCAGCTAAGCTCTGGGCTCGTGATGCTGTGTGCCTCTAGGGTGGGTGATAGTACTGCTGGGGGGTAAGAGGTGACGTCGTCGCTATGACGGCGGAAGCAGAGGATCTGAAAGGTGTCGGAGCTCTTATCGGAAAAGGCAATGGTGGACTTGTCTTGGGGGGCCTTGCGGACTGCTCGGCTGGCGTTCCAGGAGAAGGGCCGAGACGCGAAGCCAGCAGGAAGCGACCGCACCAGCACCTCCTAGGGGTATCCACCCACTCCCCTAGCAGCAGCTGCGCATCGGCGTTGTCGCCAACTTGCAAGGGAAGTAAGAGCTAAGTTGCACAACTTGAGTCCGTACACTCACTGCTACTCAGTACATCATAGTTGATGCAAAACGCTAATCATAGGCTTCTGTGTCCACCAGCACTTTTTCCAGGGGTGGCGCAGAAGTGTATGTGTATATGTGTGTATATATGAAGTGTATGTGTATATGTGTGTATATATGAAGTGTATGTGTATATGTGTGTATATATGAAGTGCATGTGTATGTGTGTATATATGAAGTGTATGTGTATGTGTGTATATATGAAGTGTATGTGTATGTGTGTGTATATATGTAAGAACCTCCGATCAGTGTGGAGGTCGTAGCTGGGAGACAGCTATGGTGGGATAGCGATGCACAGAGGGGGGAAAGGGACTGATCTGGGTCCCGTGGCCGTGGGCTGGTGGGGGGGGGAAGGAGCTGGTGCAAGGGCGGATTAGGGGGTGCACGTGGTGAGAACATTACTGCGCAGGTCGAGCTGGTTAGGTAGGGACCTTAACCTGGCCTGTGCATTAATTGATATACTTCCTCCTCACCCTATCTAGCCCTAAACCCCTCCATGCCATCTCCCCTTTTGGGCCCCACATCTCTGGAGGCCTCGTGCGGCCCCCTTGCTCCCCGGGTCCTCCTCCTCTTCACATTTTCGCACTTATTGCCATCACCCCGCTGAAGCTGCTAAGTGCCAAGCACAGTGTCGTTGCTGGGACGCTTTCACACGGTGAGCCCTTCACTTCTTTTTGGAGGTGAATATGAGGTGAATTTGGGGTGTTGTCTGAAAACGCGCGCGGGGAGGAGTGGTCCGCGCAAGCGCCCGGGGTGGCCTGGAGGTGAAGAGGTGTTAGGAGGGCTTCGTATGGGTGTCCATTGCTGTCGCACTTGGTCCCATCATGCCCCGGTCCAGTCCGGTCCTGCTGTATACCAAAGAGCAACCCGGTTCACGCGACCTGCGTTTCTGCACGTCTTCAAATCTTCTCTGATATTTGCGCTGGCCATTCCCCTGCTTTTGATGTATCGGTTGGCTGTAACGCTGAGGAGACGGGCCAAGCAGAACCAGGTCCGATGCCAGCAGCTGTCGACAGTTGTCAGCAGTTGTCAACAAAAGTGTGAAGTAGCCAAGAAAGGCAACGAAGGTGGACGGATGGCAGCGCAAACGTGTGACAGAATGTGCAGGACGCTGGGACGGCTTTAGGCATTGCGTTGTGGAGGCGCAGGTCGCGAGAGCTGGCTGTCATTTCCGAAATACCGTATCGGTGTACCGGAAGCTGATGGGACCCTAGCTGTCAGGAGCGGATCGACGCGAGCTAAATACATTAGCTAGTGTGAAGTCCTATAAGGAGAAAAATGGGCTATGATGATGGAGTATGATTGCGTGCATGTTGTTCTTGACAGTTTAGGACATCTTCCGTTGTGACGAGCCCTGCAGCAAACACTCTGGCAAGAGGCACATCAAATGATACAGAATATATGTATGATTTTCTTCTGCGGCCAAAATGTTCCCTGTGAGTCCTTAAAGCAAGCGACCACTGACTGCTCGCAGCGTAAGGGAGGGCGCTGGTGCGACTAGCAGTTTCGGCGCGGAGGCTTGTGTCCGACAGGGGAAATCTACAGTATAGATCATCATCGTACAATTCATCAAAACACGTCACTCATATAGTTTTGCTCACATCCTTCATAATCGCACATTGCTTGGGCTAACAGACAACAGGTAGAATTCAATTAGGAGAAGCCAAAATGCGTCGAGCTTTCTGCCTCGACCAACCTTGGGCTTACAACTTTAACAAACACGAATCATTCCTGAAACGAGCGTTGCCTAGTTGTACAACGGCGTCGTGCAACTTTCGCAAATGCAGCTTCTGGCCTTTGTCAACAC